TGAGCAACAACAACAAAAAATAGGTAAATTGGACTTCGTAAAAAAAACTTTTAAACTTTGGTGCAGCAAAGAACATTATCAAGAATGTGAAAAGACAACTTACAGAATGTGAGAAAATGTTTGCAAATCATAGATCTGATAAGGGCTTAGTATCCAGAATACATAAAGAATGAGTATAACTCAACATTTAATAAACCCTTAATTTCTGAAGGGGATTTTTAAAAAGAAAAAAAAAACAGTTAAAAATGGGCAAAGACTTGAATAGACATCTGTCCAGAAAAGAGATACATGAGAACTAAAAGAACATGAGAAGATGTTCATTGGTCAGTAAGGAAATGCAAATCAAAACACACCATCTAGGATGTTTCTAATTTCAAAAACGGAAAATAACAAGTGGGGTTGGCAAAAGTTTGGAGAAATTAGAAGCCTCATACACTGCTGGTGGAAATCTAAACGGGTACAGTCATTTTGTAAAACAGTCTGGCAGTTCCTCAAAAGATTACCGTATGACCCAGCAATCGCAATCTTAGGTATATACCCAAGAGAAATGAAAACATATGTCCACACAGCAACTTGCACACAAATGTCCACAGCACCATTATTCATAATAACCAAAAAGTGGGAATAACCCAAACGTCCGTCAACTTATGAATAAATAAACAAATCATGGCATATACACACCGTGGAATATTATTCAGCCATAAAGAGCAAACAAGTACCCATCCATGCTACAACAGAAATGAGTCTTGGAAAAAGACTTATGCTACGTAAAGAAGTCAGACAAAAAAGACCATGTAATGTGTGATTCCATTTACATGAAATGCCCAGAACAGGAAAATCCACAGAGACAGAAAGATTAGTGGTTACCAGGGGATGGGGGAAGGGGGAAACAGGGAGTGATTACTTCATGGGTATGGGGTGTTTTTCTGGAGTGATAAAATTTGAAACTAAAGAAAGGTGGTGGTTGCACAACATTGTAAATGCACTAAATGCCACCATAGTGCACACTTTAAAATGGTTAATTGCATGTTACATTATTAATAATTTTACCTCAATTAAAAAAATAAACTTCAATTATAAGAGTGAATAGAAACTGAAATACATAAACATCACCTCCAGTGCCCTGGTGGCACTGAGAGCCCACTGTGTGCCAAGCCCCTCTCCCTCTCCCTGCAGCCCCAAGAGGTGGGGATTCTATGGGGCCCAGCAAGGAACAGTCTCACATGGCTACCAAGGGACAGTGCTAGGGTCTTTCAGGCCTCCCTGCCCCCAGACTCCCAGCAATCTCTGTGGCCCCCTGGAGTTCTCTCCTGGCCTCCCTGGGTGGGAGCTGGTGAGGTCAGGGACTGGGAACGTTTCTGAGGCCACAAGGCGGGAGTTAATGACTGAGGAGCTTGGAATGTGCTGCCTGTGAAAGGACCTCCTTGTGGCTCCACCAACGGTTAGAGCAGGAAGGGACTTTCAAAGTCATGTAATCACTCACACACACACACACACACACACACACACACACACACACTATTTGAGACCTGAGCCCCTGCTCTGCCAGCTGCCCCAGACTGCTTGTGGAGGGGGGCAGGGTGAATGTAGCAGGCAGGTGAATGTAGCCAAGGTTGATGTGTGTCAGGTTGCATATATGCCACCATCTGGCTGCCTGTGTCACCCCTGACCTGTCTGGTTTGTGCGCAGCCAAGGAGTTCAGATCTCAGTCAGTGTGTGAGTGTGTGTGCGTGCGTGTGTGTGTGTGTGTGTGTGTGTGTGTGTGTACGTGTTCCATGAGTGCCTTAACGTGTGATCGGAGTCCCAAGGACTCCCACCTCACCTCCCACCTTCCTTTTTTTAACATGTGAATTTATTTTTGCTACTATTATCAAATTCTTACTAAGTGCAGTGTTAAGCATAGGACATTATTTTATTTTATTTTTTTTTGAGACAGAGTCTTACTGTGTTGCCCGGGCTAGAGTGCCGTGGCGTCATCTTAGCTCACAGCAACCTCAAACTCCTGAGCTCAAGCGATCCGCCCGCCTCGGCCTCCCAGAGAGCTAGGATTACAGGCGTGAGCCACCACGCCCGGCCATAGGACATTATTTTATTTCTGCCCTCCAACAACCCTGAGATATACTTATCATTATATCTCCATTTTACAGACGGAGAAACAGAGGCTCTGAGAGATTGTGTACCTTATCTAGGTCACAAAACTGGTGAGCAGCGTAACCAGAATTCAAACCCATGACCCAGAGTTGTCTGACTGCAGAATGCGTGTTCTTTCCATGGGTCACACTGCCTGAAAAAATCTCTTTCTCTCTCTCTCTGTCTCTCTCTCTCTCTCTCTCTCTCTCTCTCTCTCTCTCTCTCTCTCTCTCACACACACACACACACACACACACCCCTATAGTTCTCATGGTGGTAAACTGCTGTGGTTTCTTTTCCTTTAGAGGAAGACAAACGTTGAGTAGAACAAGGGCAAGGGAGAGGCAGCAGGCTGGTAACCACCTTCTGAGTGCACAGCACCTTACAGCTTACAAAGCACTTTCACATTTATGATCTCATTTGATCCCACAAAAGCTCTGTGAGGTCAGCAGGAAGGCACAATTGGGACTGGGACTCAGAAGGAAGGTGACCTGCCTAGGGTCACACATACAGAACATGGTAGCTCTGGGACTAGGACCGCAGAGCCAAGTTGGCCTCCTGGCTCTAAGTACTGAGTACACCCACAGACCCCTGGCTTCTGTTCCCAATGAAGACAGCCCAGGACCCTGCTTCCCTGATGGCAAAACTGGAGCCAATCAAATGGAGGTACTGGTGGAAAAGAAGGAAAGCCCAACCCTCTTTTCTGTAGTTGCGTGACCCTGGCAGCTCCTTACTCTCTCTCGGCCTCAGTTTCTTCATCTATAAAATGGGAGGAAGCAGAGAGGAAGTTTGAGGAGGGTGCTCTCAGCAGTGCCCTTTCGCATGTGTGAAAAGGTGTCTGTGCAACTGTGAGGCCTTTGAAAAATCTTGGCTGAGCCTGGTCTTGGAGCTCCCACAGCCCTAACTTGGCAACCTGCTTCAGCCACTCACTTAGTGACCTCGGGCAATTCATTTCAACAGCTCTTAGCCTCAGTTTCCCCATCTGCAAACTGGGGATGATGATGGTCCCTACCTCCTAAGCGCATTTGGCCATGGCCTCACATCCACACAGACCGTTGACATACTCTCCAAGCTGGTGACCACAGCTCCGGAAGGGAAGTGACAGTAAAGACAGCGTTTGTCAGACCTGAGGATGCCTGTGTCCCACTACAGGCTCTCACTGCTTATAAGAGCCCAGAACTAAAACTTGTTATAGCTCCTGAGATGATCATGAGTAACGCAATTATATTGCATTATATCTGTGGGTAGTTCAGAGCATTACCTTGTTTATTGTAAACATTTTAAATATATCATGAATTTTGTAACCCTGGTTTGGAATGTATTCACTTTTTAGTTACTTGAGGCCTTAAAACAATGCCAGTGGAGGGTCCTCATTCCAGGAAGCCTTGGGTGGCACTTGGTATGGTTCCTGGCATGAAATAAGCAGTCAGTACATAGTAATAATAATCCGTCACATTTACAATCCACATTACACTTTCCAGGCCGCTTTCACATTCATTTCCAAACCCCCACGCGCGGCAAGGTAGCTATGTGATTATTTCGTCCTGTTTCACGGACGCAGAAACAGGAGGCCAGCCAGGCCGGGAGGGGTCGGGGGCGCGGCCCGGCGGGGGGCGGCGGGCTGGCGGGCGGGGCGCGCGCTCGCTCAGGTGCGTAAATCCGCGGGGAATCCTCGGCTCCCGCGGGCGTGGCGAGGAAGTTGCACCATGTATGGGCAGCTACGTCAGAGGGGGGCGTGCCGCCGCGGGGCGGGGGACGCCGAGTCTGCCCTTTTCCCCACCAAAAGGCGGCTGCGGACCGTAGGAGGCGTCGAAAAGTTCGGGACGGACAGGCAAAAGGCGGCGCGTCTGGAGAGGTGGAGCCCTGAGGTGACCGGCGCCGCTGCGAAACGCCCCCACCTCCCGCGGTCGGAGTGGTTCAGCCCGAGAACTTTTCATTCATAAAAAGAAAAGACTCCGCGAGGCGCGCGTGAGTCAGAACCCAAGCTGCCGACGCGGACCCCACAGAGCAGCCAGCCCAGGGCATGTTCCGAGACTTCGGGGAACCCGGACCGAGCTCCGGGGCCGGCAGCGCATACGGCGGCCCCCCGCAGCCCCCCGCCGCGGCGCAGGCGGCGGCCCAGCAGGTGAGACGGCCCCCTGGGCTTCCCGGGTGGCCAGCGCTCGGGACGCGAGGGTCAGCTCCCGCACGCTCCGGACCGGAGCCGGGAGCAGGAGTAGGGCCCAGGTCTGGGGCCGGGGGCCGAGGATCCTGCCCGATCTCCGCCGTCCAGGGGCCAGTTTCCCCCCGACGGGCCAGAGGAAGGCGCGCACCGGGAGGAACAAAGATCTGCGAACGCCCCTCTCTCACTCGTCCCCTTCTCCCTGCCTGAAGTGGATCTGCCCCTCCACCTCTGTTACCTTCTTTCTTTCCTCTGGTCCACCGCTCATTTCTGTGTCCCACCTGCCTCAGAAAGGACCCCGGACGCCTGGGTTCGTCCTGGCCCCGACGGATCAGAGGGTCTTTCCATCTCGGGCTAAATTCCTGGGATTCGGAGTCTGGGCTGTGCCTGAAACGTCCCGACACACGAGGGACGCCGGATCTATTGGGACAACAGCCCGGACAGAGTGGGAATCCTCGGCACTGTGACCGTCAGTGTGTCTGTCTGTCCTTCTCTACTCCGTCGCCTAGTGCCTATCTCGACACAGTGGAGCCTGGCGGCCCCTGGCAGTGGAACCTGACAGGTTCCTGGAGACTGGCTCTCGACCCCTTTTGCTGAATGGGGACCGCGAGGTGCCGGAACGTGCGCTGGGTAGTGCTGCTGGCAACTCCCGCGCCCCCGCCTCTCGGCACCGAACGGCGCCCACTGCCGGCTGGGGGGACCTGAGAGGTTGCAGGTGCCCATTTCCTGTCGAGGGGCTGCGAGCACGTGTCGTCAGGGAGGGAATGAGAGGCGTCCGTTCCGCCGAGTCACCGAGGCTGAGTCACTCGGGGCGCCCCTCCCTTCCTGGCCCCGAGCGGCCCGAGCCGGGACAACCTTGGAAGCGGGAGATGCCGCTGGCGGTGCCTCGACCGGGAACTGGGGTCACTGGGCCGCTGGGTCTGCCGCGCAGGGCCAGGGCCACTGCTGTTGGGACTTGCCTGGGCTTGTGGGGCGCTTCCCGGACTACTGAGCGCCAGCACCCGGAGCCCAGCGGCAGACCTCGAACCCAGTTCTCCTCCCAGAAAACTGAGCCCCCATCCCAACCCATTCCTCAGGTTTCTGGCTGAAAGAGGATGGTCACAGGAGCAACGTGCTGGGTGCTTGCCACATCATTTACCGTATTTCATGGAATCTAAGACCTCAGACTGGGCGTGGTGGCTCACGCCTGTAATCCTAGCACTCTGGGAGGCCGAGGCGGGAGGATGGCTGGAGGTTAGGAGTTTGAGACCGGCCTGAGCAAGAGCGAGACCCCGTTTCCACTAAAAAATAGAAAGAAATTATCTGGACAACTAAAAGTATATAGAAAAAATTAGCCGGGCGTGGTGGCACATGCTTGTAGTCCCAGCTACTCGGGAGGCTGAGGCAGGAGGATCCCTTGAGCCCAGGAGTTTGAGGTTGCTGTGAGCTAGGCTGACACCACAGCACTTTCGCCCGGGCAACAGAGTGAGACTCTGTTTCCAAAAAAAAAAAAGACCTCATAGATTTTAAAACCTGCCATTATTTTGTGCCACTAATTTTTTTAAATGGGATGTTGTACTCCTTACCTGTGATAATATTAATAGTGAGGAAACTGAAGCACATTGAGGTTAAATAACTTACCCAGGGTCACACAGCCAGTAAGTGTCTGAGCTGAGATTAGAACTGGGACAGCTAGAACCCAGAGCAGTGGCTCTTATCTGCCTCATCCCCTCTGCACTGGGCACCTGCCACTTACCAGACTGATCACACACATTGTCTCACCTGATTTCACAGCCTCCCTGTGAACTAGGTGTTGTAATTATCCTTTCTGTGCAGATGGGTGCAGGAAGTGGGTAAGAGCCCAGGTGCCTGGGCTCAAATCCCATTTCCTACTTATTGGCTGTGTGTTTGTGGACAACCGTTCTCCTGTCTGAAAATGAAGGTACTATTGTGCCAATTATATGAGTCAGTATTTGTAAAGTGGTTAGAACAGTGCTTGGCAGTTCATACTTTTTAAGTATTAGCTCCGATGGGGAAACAGAGGCACAGAGAGATTATGTGACCTGCCAAAAGACACACAGCTATTGAATAGCAGTTTGTCACCAAGCCCAACTCCGACTGTCAAGCTGTGCTCTTTCTGGTCTCCCAGAACCAGTATCTACATTGAGGGTGGACAGCAGTGTGGTCTCTGCTCACTGAAAGCCCCTCAATCCCCACAGACTTCATGCCTGCCCTTCCATTTCTTGTCCCTCAGAAGTTCCACTTTGCGCCAAGCATCAACGCTGTGAGTGGCAGTCAGGAGCTGCAGTGGATGGTGCAGCCTCATTTCCTGGGACCCAGCAGCTACCCTAGGCCTCTATCCTACCCCCAGTACAGCCCCCCACAACCCCGGCCAGGAGTCATCCGGGCCCTGGGGCCGCCTCCAGGGGTACGTCGCCGGCCCTCTGAACAGGTAAGGGGCAGAGGCATTGTACTGGGTCCAATTGACCACAGGGGTGATGGGGTACAGAGCACAAGCTCTTGCTAGAAAGAAGAGCACAGGCTTAGAAGAGGGGAAGATAGGGCCATTGGTGTCTATTGTCCAAGGCAGAAAATGATAGGAATCCCTGGGAAGGCCCAGAGGACAATACAGTCACTTCTGTATCAGCAAAAGCTTCTTGGAGAAGGTGGCATATCAGCCTAGAAAGACGGGGTAGGATTTGCATAGGTAGAGATGAAGGAAAGGACATTCCAGGTGGAGGGGATGGCAGGAGCAAGAATAGAAGTGGAGGTGAGAAGGTGTAAGGTACGCATGTGGAAAGGTGAGAGGACCTCTGCCTGCTGACATACATGTGCAAGGTGGGCTTATGCTGTCTGGGGAGAGAACAGGAGAGAGGTCCCTTCAGCTACTCTCTGGGTCTCAGTTTCACTGTCTCATTTAATCCCCACAAAAACTCTCTAGGGGAATGTACTCTGGTTTTCCCCATCTTCCAGCCCAGGAAATGAAGGCACAGAGGGGTAGTCACTTGCACAAGTAGTGAGTAATGAGATGGGACTGGCCTTGGCCCCAGGTCTATCCAACTCTGAAGTCAGATCCTAACCATCAAGCCACCCTGTCTCACTGGATCCTAGTTCTTGCTCTGGAACCATAAACAAGTGCATCCTCCCTGGGCTTCAGTTCTTTACATGTAAAATTGGGTTAAGAATTTATGTTTAAAAAAAAATCTATGTAAAGCACTTAGCTGGCACATAGTGTGTTCCCAGTAAATTGCAACATATTCAGCAGCACTCATTAGTCCTTCCAGTGCCCACAGTTCCTGGGGGTAGGAAGAGACTTGGCTGTTCAGAGATCCAGAAGGATGAGGGTCCTGCAATAAGGGGTAACCCCACCCCAGGTGCTCAGAGGTGGAAAGACCACTTCTGGCTGGGGAATGAGAAGGCTTCCTGGAGGCAGGGGTAGCTTGAGTCCCGGGAGATGAAGAGGGTTGAGGTTTGTGAAGGGGGAGGCCATTAAGGGAGAGAAATGAGCACTAAAGCTAGGTGCGAGGAGGGAATTTGACCAAGCTGACTAGTGGTTCAGCAGGGATAACTGGTTGGGGTCACCAGTCCCTAAATCACAGGTTGAGGGGGTCTCCCGTGCTTCTGTACCCTCTGCCGGGGTCATACCACTGGACCACCGCAGGGGCGGGGGGCTAGTTCCCAGCAGCCAGTGGCCCAGGGTCCTCCTCACCGACACCCTCACCCTAAACCCCCCAGATCAGCCCAGAGGAGGAGGAGCGCCGCCGAGTAAGGCGCGAGCGGAACAAGCTGGCTGCGGCCAAGTGCAGAAATCGGAGGAAGGAACTGACCGACTTCCTGCAGGCGGTGAGCACCGGCCCTGTGGAGGGCGCCCAGGCCCTGACCCACAGATCCTCAGAGGGACCTCGGCTCCCAGGAGCCCGCGGGGTCCCAGTGTATGTAGCCCCCCAACACCACCCTGGCTCCGGGTCAGTCCTTCTGGGAATAGGTCGAGGAAAAACCGATTAAAAATTGCAGCACGTCTCACTCGCTGCAGAGCAGAGCTGAAGCTCAGCCAGCAATCTCCTAAGAGCCCGGCCTGATGGGAGTCATGCCCATTTTCTCCCAGGGGCTCATGGGAGTTGCAGTCCAGACTTGCTAGGGATTTCCCACCCCCCACCGCCAGCACCACCTGAGGTTCTGGGGTATTCAGCCTTCATCTTCCTGACTCCTCTCCTGACACTCTACAGGAGACTGACAAACTGGAAGATGAGAAATCTGGGCTGCAGCGGGAGATTGAGGAGCTGCAGAAGCAGAAGGAGCGCCTGGAGCTGGTGTTGGAAGCCCACCGACCCATCTGCAAAATCCCGGAAGGAGTCAAGGAGAGGGACACAGGCAGTACCAGCAGCACCAACAGCCCACCAGCCTCCTGCCACCCTGTACCTTGTATCTCCTTGTCCCCAGGTCCTGTGCTTGAACCTGAGGCATTGCACACTCCCACACTCATGACCACACCCTCCCTGACTCCTTTCACCCCCAGTCTGGTCTTCACCTATCCCAGCACCCCTGAGCCCTGTGCCTCGGCTCATCGCAAGAGTAGCAGCAGCAGTGGGGACCCATCCTCTGACCCTCTTGGGTCCCCCACCCTCCTTGCTTTGTGAGGCACCCCAGACCCACTCCCTGCAGGTGCCACCTGCACCTGCAGCCAACATCTTCTCTCCTTCCTCCGTGGGTCCAGCTGGCCTGGACCATATCCCACACCCAACCCCAGCAGGTTCTTCTCCATCCCTCCAGATGAGACTAAGCAAATTTTGCTTCGCAATAGAGCCAGCTTGGGGCCATCAAAGCTACCCACTGTTTTTCTAGAGCTGGCCTCTCTAGCACAATTTGCACTAAATCAGAAACAAAATATTTCCCGCTTGTGCCAGAGGAATCCTGGCAGCCCAAAGAGACTCTGTAGGTCCCTAGGGGGTCCTCTGGAGCCCTAACCCCTTTCAGCCCACCCCCACACTCCACATCACCCTGTTCCTGTGATCTACCCAACCCTACCCACTGACCTAAGGTGCCATTCTACCAGCCTAGAACACTAACTCACCCAGCCCCACTGCCAGCAGCAGCAGGTGATTGGACCAGGGCATTCTGCTGGCCCCTCCTCAATAGCACAGCTGAGGAGGCACCAGAGGCTCCTGTGATGAGCTGACTTGCAGACCCCAGCTCTGAGAAGCCTTTAGCTCCAGGGAATCCAAGCCTCCACAGTGAGGGCAGCTGCTATTTATTTTCCTAAAGAGAGTATTTTTATACAAACCTGCCAAAATGGAATAAAAGGCTTGAAGCTCTGGCCTAGGCATCTCATTAGACCCAGAGGCTAAAGGGAGAACATTTGGAGCCAGAAGACCAGCTCCACAGACTGACTGCATGACTTTGGACAAATTCTTTGATGTTTTTGGATCTTGATTGTCTTATATGACAAATGAGGCTACGCTCTACCTCATCTCCAGGATTGAAAGGAAAGAATGCTCTGGGATACAAGCGAAGAGGATTATCATCCTTCTTCCCATCGGGGCCCACAGCGTTCCTGCGTGTGCCACGGGGGGGCGCTGTTATGCCCCCTTCCAGCCTCAGAGGAGACGGACGAGTGGGTTCTAGGCCCCCAACACCTGCTTCCTGCCCCATTGTCTTGGACAGGAAGGAGCCGGGAAGGGAACTGGAGCCACTTCGGGGGCCGGATTACGGCTTGTTCCGGCGCCCTACGGGGGGAGTCAGTGGTTTACCACCACCCCGCATCCCATCACAGGCTCGAGGTAATGGGGGAGTCATTAGTTCTGCAGTCCTTCGGATGGGAAGGGTACCCTATCTCAGCGTCTCCACCCTCGACCCAACCCCGACAGTACCAACAGTATCAAACAGACTGCCCAGGCTCGGGCTCCGCTTCCGTCCCGGTTTATTAGCCCTCACCCAACCCCCAGCAAGTCCATCTGCTCCAGCCTTCAGTCCCCCTGCTGCCCCGCCAGCGAGAGCGAGGGGCCCTCCTCGGTTTCAGGGTTTCTTAGTCCATGCCAGCGGCCCCTCGTGCGCAGCCAGGACGGCGTCCAGGTCCCGAGGTTCATCGCAGTCCCAGAGCTCCGGGAGCAATCCGGGTGGGCGTTGGCGTGGAGGAAGCAGCGCCCTCAGTCATCGGGGGAGCAGGCCAGGGGCAACTGATCCGGACTGCCCACGCTGCCGGTGCTGGAGCTTCCATCGCCTAGGTCGCGGGGCCCGCAGGGGGGCAGGGCGAGCTCGGGTGTTGGCCCGGCGCCTGAGCCCCCAGCGCCGCCGGGGCCGCCGCGGGGGCCCCATTCCTCTCCCAGCGCCAGGCAGAGCTCCTTAAGCGCCAGGTTCTCCCGCAGCAGCTCCTCCTGGCGGCCCTCCAGCTCGGCCAGCTTCTGCCAACAGCCGCCCAGGTCCTCGCGCACGGCCCGGGATGCCTGAGTCCCGAAGAGCTGCCACTGGCGCGCGGCGCGCCGCCCGCGCTGGCGCTCCGAGTCCAGGAAGCAGCAGAGGTCGCGCAGCTCGCGGTTCTCTGCCTGCAGGCGCCGGTTGAGCTGCTTGAGCTCGCGGATCTCGCCCAGGTGACCCTGCAGCTGCCGATTCACCTCCTGCATGAGGCGGCCGCGCTGCACCAGAGCCGCCAGGCGCGCCGCCTCCTCCCGCCGCAGGCGCCGCACCAGCTCCTCCTTGCCCAGCGCCGCCATCTCCTCATCCGTCAGCTCCTCCAGGCCTCCTGCCTCGGCCTCCATGGCTGGTCAGGCAGCTGGAGCATCGCCCGCCCGCCGCCGAAGCCCAGGAGCCCCACGTCGGGCCCAGCGCGGCTCAGGCTCGGGCTCCGGCTCCGCGGGCGGCAAGCAGTGGCGGAGGTAGCGTAGGCTGCAGCAGCCACCGGGGGTGGGCACGCGGCGGGGCGCGCGCCGGGGCGGGGCCGCATGACGTTGCGGAAAGACAGCCAATCCGGGGGAGCCTCCCTGGAAAGGGGCGGGGCCTGGGCACCAGAGCAGGTTCCTGGCCCTCTCCGGACCTCAGTGTCTCTGACCCTCGAAAACAAGGGACTACCGCGTCATCGTCCTCCGCACCAGTCACAACCCCCAGATAGGCGCTTCCTACCTCCAAGTTCCAGATCTCCTCAAGCTCAAGCCTAGGCTTCTCGGCTCCTCTGAGATCCAGCACTCGGCTGTCGGCCCCTGACTCCTGCCCATCCCCGAAGGATTCTTTTCCAGCCCCTCTTACCTTTGGTTTAACTCGAGAGTCTCGGCTCACTAAGCATCGCTCCTAACTCCTCAGAACCCTGAATTGAAACGTCCTAGCTCACCATTCGCCTACTCTCCCTCCCAGGGAGGGTTTCCTCCCTGGCGGGAGAGACATACAAGAGATTCGTTTGTTCAATAAACCTGTATTGCGTGCAAGGCCCATGCAGAAATAAATTTGACTAAGATCCTGATCCTGTCCTCACAGAGGTCGCATTCTGGCAGGAGAGATAGGTTGTGTTAAACCAGAAGCAAACGGAGGAGAGGAGTATGGTCTGAAATAATCCCCAAAAGGTTTCCCAGAAAACGTGATATCTGAGGGGCTCTGGTAGATGCATATGATTTTGCCGAGTAAAGACAGAGCTATTTCAGGGAGAATAGCATGGTGAAAGACACTGGCACCTAAAAGCTGCTTTAGGAATAATGAGGGTAGCTTGATGTTTTTTGAAAGGCAGATGTGTGGAGAAAAGTGGTAAGAGAGGGAGGGAGGCTTCAAGAGTAGGCAGAAGCCAAATTCTTAAAGAGGTTTCAATACTAGGCTGGAGCGTTTCCAAAGGCCAGTAAGGATTTTAAGCAGGGGAGTAACATTTTAAAATATGCGTTGAACAAAATTGTTCAGCCTGCTCTGTGTGGGAGGGACCCTGGGAGGGAGGGGTTGTAGGCAAGGAGATTAGAAACACTGTGTCAATCAATGATCAAGGAGAGCTATGCAGAAAGACTGCGCTGGGGCAGTGTTGGTGCGAGTGGAGAGGACAAACAGATACTAACATTCGGGAGGCAAATCACCAGACTGAATGTGGGGAGAGAGGAGTCTGGGAGAAAGCGCAGGTTTCTAGTATGAGAACTGGGTGAATGTTGGGGCTGTCACTGAGATAGGGACGCAAGAAAGAAACAGATTGGGGAGAGCGAGATCTGTCTGGAATACGTTGAGCTTTTGAGGGGCTTATGGGAAAACAGCATGAAGAGACTTGGCAGACAGGCGGCCCCTCCGGATGTGGACTTCCAGGCAGAGCTCTGAGGGGCTAAATGAGAGACGTCATTAGCTCGTGTGGGGGTGTGGCTAAAACAATATTGGGGGCAGGTGCTCCAGGCTCAGAAGTGCCCAATCGCAGGATGGACAGAGGGGCCTCCAGCAAGAGCCCCTGGAAGTCAGGTCATGCAGCCCTTTCGCAGAGAAGAGATCCAGGCTAAAGCATGAAACCCCTAAGTTTACTAAACAGGTCAAAGTTGGGAAGCCCCGAAAAGGGCAGAGAAGGTGGGAGAAAAACCAGGAGGAAGAGAAGGGAGAGGTTGCTGGGGCAGGGGAGGCACTCCGGACGCCCCTCTGCAAACGGCTGCGGGGGTGGGGTTGGGACTCCCCCTCCCTGCGGGAGAGACTACTCCACCGCCCAGGCCTCCGCCTCTTCCCTCACCACCCCCGCCCTCACTCCGCGTCTATCCCGGAAGTGGTCCTTCGCTGGCTCCGGGTGCCCGGAGCCGAATCTCAGCGCTCCCGGAAGTGGCCCAGCGGCGGCGCGCCCGTCCCGGGCAGTGTTCGCTCCTGGTCGGGGCGCTGCGGCCCCGGACGTCGCCATGACCAGCGAGCTGGACATTTTCGTGGGGAACACGACCCTTATAGACGAGGACGTATATCGCCTCTGGCTGGATGGTTACTCGGGTCTGTGAGGGGCCGTCGGGGGGGAGACCGTTGGGCAAAGCGGTTGTTTTGGATGGGAGAGGGGCGGGGCCAGGACTTGGGCATCCTTTGGGGAAGTGGGCAGGCAGCTGGGAGTAAGGGATGTGCAGGAGTCGGGGCTGGAATCCCTGGAGGGCCTCTGGGTCGGCGGGGCGGGTCCTGATACTAGCGCCCACTCCCCAGTGAGCGACGCGGTGGCCTTGCGGGTGCGTTCGGGAATCCTGGAGCAGACGGGCGCCACGGCAGCGGTGCTGCAGAGCGACACCATGGACCACTACCGTACCTTCCACATGCTCGAGCGTCTGCTGCACGCACCGCCCAAGCTACTGCACCAGCTCATCTTCCAGATCCCGCCCTCCCGGCAGGCGCTGCTCATCGAGAGGTGCTCACCTGGTGGGATGGTGGAGATGCCAACCAGTCTGACTATATATCCATTTTGCAGGCCAAAACCGAGGCTCAGGGAGGAACAGGTCTTACCCAGGCACTCAGAAAGTGGAGAGCAGAAAGGGCCAGACCCAGGCCCTGCCAAGTCCCCCTTCCCCTTCTTTATGAAGAATCAGTGGTGTCCTCTGTGTCCACAAGGTACTACGCCTTTGACGAGGCCTTTGTTCGGGAGGTGCTGGGCAAGAAGCTGTCCAAGGGCACCAAGAAAGACCTGGATGACATCAGCACCAAAACAGGCATCACCCTCAAGAGCTGCCGGAGACAGGTGGGCGCTCCACCCACACACACCCAGCACCCCATTTACAGTCCACCCCTTCACTCCATCTGTTTGGCCACTGCCCCAGCTCCAGCCTCTGATCGTGGCAGCATCTTCATACCTAGTCTCTTCTCCCAGTTCTTTGCCCCTTCTAAACCATCACGTGCTCTGTGGCCAGAGTGGCCTTTCAGAAGCCCAGATCTCACCGTGGCTTTCCCTGCTCATAAACTTTCATTGGCTCCCGTTTCCTCCTGGGTAGCAGCTACACTCCTTGGCCTTGACCTTCAGACTGTCCCTGCAGACCTCTTTAGGCTTACATTTCTCCAGCCCCAGGCTTTCTTTTGTTCACGTTGCTCCTACCTGGAGGGTACTGTTCTTGGCCATATCTACCCCTTGAAATCCAAGGCAGGAGGTGAGATACCACGTTCTCCACAAGCCTTTTTGGTGGCGCCAGGGAGAAGTAACCCTTCTGGGCCTTTGATGCCTTTCCTCTGTGTCTCCTGTGAGCTCCCTGTGGATGGATTAGCATTTGCTCATTTTTGAGTACCTGGAGCTTAGCCAGGACAGTCATTTCCAGCTCAAGCTCCTGAAGATCCGGAGAGCATGATGCTAAAATGGGATTGCATTTAGAGATAGAGATGGAGTGAGCAAACGTTTATCCAAGGCAAGATGGCAAAAGCTGATAAACATTTGTTGAATTGATAACAGATACTAATAACTAATAATTGGCTGAAGGAAAAACAAGTGCTAAATCAGCATCTGCTGATTGGATGGGCAGATAGAGAGGGATATTCAATAAACAATTTATTGTGTGAGCATCCTCTGACCAGTTCTCCCTTTCTCTCTAACTGCCCTGCAGTTTGACAACTTCAAGCGAGTCTTCAAGGTGGTGGAAGAAATGCGGGGCTCCCTGGTGGATAACATTCAGCAACACTTCCTGCTCTCAGACCGGTTGGCCAGGTGAATGGCCAGCCATCTCCCCCTCTTGCACACTCCTTCCCTGGGCCCTGAGGCTGGTCCACCGTCTCCACTACAACCCTTTGGACCTCCCGGCTATGCCGGGGGTATGGTTATCTCATTTCTAGTCTGTACTTTGACTCAGAGTGACCTGGGTTCAAATCCCAGTCCAGCCATTTCCAGCTGGGCTATTGTGAGGTGCCACGTATAAAGCCCATGGCATGACCTCTGGCACTTAGGAAGTACTCAGTAAATGATAGCTATTAGTCGTGTGATCTCCCACTGTATCCCTTAGGAAACCTGGGCTGGAAACTTCTCTTCGCACAGATGAGGAGGCCCATAGAGAAGCGACTTGAGACACATCACACTGTGACCTAGGGCAGAGAGAGGCCAGGACTCAAATGCCCAGCTGAGGGTGCAGGTGGGAGCTGTTTGCTGAGAAGGAAATTTAAGACCTGAGAGGACCCCCCTCCCCTCCCTGCAGGGACTATGCAGCCATCGTTTTCTTTGCCAACAACCGCTTTGAGACAGGGAAAAAAAAACTGCAGTATCTGAGCTTTGGTGACTTTGCCTTCTGTGCTGAGCTCATGATCCAGAACTGGACCCTTGGAGCCGTCGGTGAGGCCCCCACTGACCCAGGTGCCTGGACACCTCCCTATCCTCTCAGGGCCTGGTTCCCCCCTAGCAGTTTCTCCTGTGGGCCCCCAGTTCCCAGCATCTTTTTCTGGTCAGGGCCCCCACCCAGGCCACCTTTGCTCATAGTCCATTTTCCCACACACTCTTGTCTGCACTCAAAGGGCTTATTGCCTGGGGCATGTCACTCCACCTGTCAGAGACTCTGTTTCCTCTTCTGTCCCGTGGGGTGCAATGAGGTGGCAGGTGAGGAAGACTCAGGGCCTCATGGGAGGGATTTCTGTCACCCACCCCAACTCCTTTCATGGGCCTCACTCAGACTCCCAGATGGATGACATGGACATGGACTTAGACAAGGAGTTTCTCCAGGACTTGAAGGAGCTCAAGGTGCTAGTGGCCGACAAGGACCTTCTGGACCTGCACAAGAGGTGACCTTGGGGAATCCATGGGGCAGGGCTTGAAATAAGAGCTCCGCTGGCTCTAGGAATGACCCTGTATCCCTGCAGCTTGGTGTGCACTGCTCTCCGGGGAAAGCTTGGCGTCTTCTCTGAGATGGAAGCCAACTTCAAGGTCTGTGGCCCCATCCAGCCTCTCTGTCCCTTGGGCACTTTCAGCCTCCAGTGCACTACCCCTGCCGGGCATCTCTGCGTCTGCCCGAGATTGACCGGCAGGTGGCGCTGCCGCACTCTGCCGGCTTGTGAGGGGGAACCAGCTCATAAGCAACGGGGACTTGGTTGATTGGGGGAGGCAGATAGATTTGGGGAGGAGCTTGTCCCTCCCCCAGCTTCTGTACTCAGCCCCCAACTTCTGGGGTAGAAGGCAGAACTCCCAGGATCCCTGCCTCACAGAACCTGTCCCGGGGGCTGGTGAATGTGGCTGCCAAGCTGACCCACAATAAGGATGTCAGAGACTTGTTTGTGGACCTCGTAGAGAAGGTGAGTTGTGCTGCCCTTGGCCCCTGTGATCCCCAACCTGACTGTCCCCAGGCTGCACTGGTGCTAAATATTCCCTTGGTCCCACAGTTTGTGGAACCCTGCCGCTCTGACCACTGGCCACTGAATGACGTGCGACTCTTCCTGAATCAGTATTCAGCATCTGTCCACTCCCTGGACGGCTTCCGGTGAGAGACACTGTTCTCCTCTCCAGCTTGGCCTTGACCTAGCCAGCCAGCTGCCGGGTCTGGCCCTCCTGAAGGCTCAGGGCTGCTCATTCTGCTATGCTGGGGGCGGAAGTCCATGTGGACCTAAGTCCTGGCTTAGAAGCTGTGTGACCTTGGGCAGATTACTTAACCTCTCTATGCCTCAGTTTCCTCATATGTGAACAGGAGATAATAATTAGAAGAACCATAAGAATTTTATGAGGACTAAATGAATTAATGTATAGAAAGCACTCAGAGCACTGTCTCAGACGTGCTGAGTATGGAGTAAACACAGCTGTCACTGTTACTGTTGTCATTACAGGCACCAGGCCCTCTGGGACCGCTACATGGGCACCCTCCGTGGCTGCCTCCTGCGCCTGTATCATGACTGAGGCCCCTCTCCCACCACCCTGCCCGTGTGACAATAAAGTTGCCATGAGTTTGGAGAGTGATCCTGTCTGCAGAGGGAGGAGCCCGTGGAGGTGTTGCAGGTGTGCACGTCTATGTCTCTGAGTGCCCTGCTGTCCACGTACAAGGATGTATGTGTACATCGGCCCCGCAGGGACTGAGACAGATCAGGGCTGGTGTCTGCGCTCAACCCATCCGGCATCTCCCCTCCTCAGCTGAGTCCACTCAGAAGCCAGGGGTCTTGTCTTGGTTTATTCAAGCCATATTGAGAAGATTTGGAGCATGGGCAAAACCTTGTGGCGGGGCTGGTGAAGCAGCAGCAGGCATAGCAGGAGATAGCTGCAGGGAAGCTGGACAGGCTCAGGGGGGACAGGAGACCCGGCGTTTTCTAACTGGTTTGTCCACGCGGGCAGTGAGTGGGTACTTGGTGATGCCGCAAGTGTTGTTCCCTCGGTGCAGCCGGAAATAGCCCTAGGAAGTTAGGGGACGTCAGGGCTGGAAGGTGGGGAGGGGCCTGTTCTGCCCTTCCCCAGTAGATCACACTCACCTTCTCTCCCCAGTGGACCCCCCAGGAGTTTTTTAGGATCCAATATGGGATGGAGCGGCGAGGACGCGACTGGGGCGAAACTGTCTCTGTCCATATCCCCTCCTCTGGTTGGTCCCTGCCAAAACCCACCAGCAGGACAGAATGATCCACATGCTGGGGGTCACAGGCGGTGGGTGTGGCCTTGATCACACCTTTCTGGTAATGCTGCAGGGCATGGGGGCAGAGGAGCTGAGTCTGGGGCCAACTCTCCTATGTCCTCCTCCCCGCATTCCCTACCCCATCTTACCCTCAGTAGCTTCATGTTGATGGTCACAGTAATGGGGCCATGGGTGGCCAGGTACTGGGCAATTCCTGGGGTGGAAGGTGCCATCAGGCCCTGCCTGCCCTGTGGCCCCTGCTCTTGGCACATGGCGTGTCAGTCTGCCCACCTTCCCCCTCCCCACTCCCTCAACCCGCCATCTCTGTCTGTAGACCCATGTGTCCGCCCGCGCCCTGGTGTCTGTCCCTATCACCCCCGCCTGTATGTCTGCCCTGCCGCACTCTGCTCGTTGTCCTGCAGCATGATGAAATCCTGGATCCAGGCCACCTTCTGGTACTTCTTGGCCTGGCACCTGTGGGTTTTGCCGTGGCCCCGGAACGGGTAGTCCTTTGCACTGGCCAGCCCGCCTGGAGATAAGCAGGATGAGGGAGGAGGCTCCGCTGCTGAACACCCCCCACCCCTGCAGCTACCCAGAGCTGCGGGTACTCACTGTTGTTGAGGACAGTTATAAACGCGTCCCAGACGAAGCCACCCTGGCAGCCATCCCCACACCGGCCACAATCGAGCAGCTCTGGTGTAAGAAGGGACAGTATGGGAGAACAGGCCCTAGTCCTCCCCCGCATCCCACATGTGTCCTTGCCCAGCCCTACCCTGCACAGAGACTTCCACAGGGGCTTTGTACGTGATTCCCCCCGCATCCTACGTGTGTCCTTGCCCAGCCCTACCCTGCACAGAGACTTCCACAGGGGCTTTGTACGTGATTCCCC